TATTTTTGTATTTTATTAAATCAAACGAAGCGTTGATTTGTTTAGTGATGTACTAAATGAGGGAAAACTAAATTTAAATAAACGGATCTAAAAGTGGTATATAAATGGCAGGCATTCATAGCCATGAGTTAGTCTTCGCTCAGTATTGCAAGAATTTTGCTCATAATTCTTGAATAAATCCTAACTTCAAAAATAACATAAATATTTCTAACAATGAATAAGACATTGATTTTCGTTGTGATAGCAATCGGTATGTATTTATTTATGCAATTTATTTGCTATCAAATATTAATTGCTATCAATCGGTGTGAAAGGGTTGTGTCAATCGGTGTCCAGCGCTCCGCAGACGGCGGCAAAAGCCGAGAAGAAATGCCCGAATGAATCGGTTCGGGAGACGTGTCTTAGCTCTCTCTTCATAATCGCCTCTCCGGACAAAACATTCCCAAACACTACCGAAAGACTCGTTGAATTTTGCGGCAAAATTAAGGAAACCGACAAATGTATCAAAGATTACACAACCAGATGTATGGATCCGATGGGAAGGCGGGCCACTCAAGTGGCAGTCGCCGGCATTTCGCGGCTCCTCAAAAGGATGTGTAGATCTAATGAAAGGCGAAAGGGTTTGTACTGAAAGCCATGTCTAAAATAATTATTGTTAATTAATTTTGTTGTAATCTTCCATAGAGTTTGTGAAGAACGCCGGTTGCGGTAATGCAATGATCGGTGACATGAGATCCTGTCTTAACGACTATAAGATGGCATTATATGGCGCAGAGAAGGCAGAAGTGAAGCAACGAATGCCGATTCTTTGCTGGTATGTCCGGTCGACCGACCCTTTCAGTCATTATAAACCAATAATTTGACCATGTTATCAACTTGTTATCATGTTGAATTCAATTAATTGCCCATTTGTTTTAAAATAGCAAATTCCATGACTTCCGCGGATGTGTCCGCAAGGGTTTTGACAAAGTGGGAGAGACTGTATGTCCGGACAGTTCCCGTGAGTATTTCGCTCACATCGCCGACGCCTTCCAGTCGGATGTGTTTGACTTGATTTGCAGTAATTATGAGGCGGAGTCCGACAAATGCAATGCTGTGGTCGTACCCGTTGTCCAGCCATCAAACGATACCAAATCACTACTCAAACCGCTGAGGAATGTCCTCC